AGATGTGTTGCTTTCATGAATTATATATTTTTAAAACTTTTTCAATATTTTCAAGCACACCATTCTACTCGTCACAATGATACTTTTGCATGTTATTTCTGCTGCCTGGAACACCCTTCCCTAAAGACTCAGTTCAAGTGTCACCTCCTATACTACACCTCCTCAGGCACTTAGATGAGGCACCAAACAAAAGAAATATATGAGATGAACCAAATGCTTCTAAAGTCATTTTCTTTTTTGTATAATCTGATTGTAATGTTCAGTACCTTTTCTTCCTCATATAGATATTTCCTGATGGATAGTAGCCTTATTAATTTATTATTAGTCACTATGTTGTTTTAAAAGTGCTGCATCAACCCCTCCTACAGTTTAGGTATTGAGTTCTAATATCCAGTCACTGGTGTAAGTATGTCTGGAAGGTGAACTTTTATTGTGATCTGATTGCTGAGTTTTGACTATGGTCTATTGATCTAAGACATTAGTGATACATATTCATAAAAATACCCATTGAGATAACCACTACCATAATGATGCCACCTAGATTTTATTAGAGTAGACAGCAATCTCTGAGATCTTGAAAAGTAGTCTATCCCTTTGTGTTTCCAGTGAATCAAGTATTACCTGGCACAGAAGAGGAACATAATAAATGTCTGAGGAATGAAGGAATTACATGTCAGAATACCTCAAACACTTATTTTTCTAGCACCTTAAAAATGTACTGGAGTTTCAGTAATTGAGAATGACTCCCACATTCCTTTTAGAATATGAAGATTCCGAATTTCCTTCCAAAGATTAGAAAAATGCCTGTTAAGAAGTTCATGTTTAAAACAGGCTTCAACCCATTTCTTTGCAACCCCTGTCTCAAGGACATATATACACAAAACATACTGAGTGGGTAATTTCTATAAGACTGCCACATAGCTTATCATTTGGAACATCTCTATCTGCAATTTTGGTGGTTGCAGGTCTATAACTGGGCAAAATAAGTGGGAAACACTAACTGTAACTTTGAGTGTCACAGTTTATAGCTGACTAGAATAAGAGCTTATCTAAGAAGAGTTTGTATTGGACTAGTTTGGGACTTTTGATAACAGAATCTAGCCTGGTTAAAATTGGGCTAGGCTGTTGTATTCCTTTAACCGGAATAAATCCAACATGTTTCAGGAGCAGGGACCTGTTCAGATTATTCTCTAGAGGCCAAAACATTGATAAGGAGGATCTGATTCCTTGCAAACTGAAAAGCAAAAAAAAAAAAAAAAAAAAAAAAAAAATGCCAACCAGCTATGCTAATTCTATCCCGTATATAATTAGGGAGCCCCAAATCAAGAGAGTAGTGAAAAACAATAAAGAAATGAACAAAGGGCACCAGCAGTTTACAAGACAAAAATATATGATCCTTAAAATATATGAAAAGATGGTCCATCTCACTCACAGTAAGGGACATACAATTTTTTTTTGACTTCCCTTCCTGGCTCTCATTTACTGACTTGCTCCATGCAGCAAGGTATGTCTGTGAAGCCCAGACCTCTGTTATCTAAGTATGTCTTAAGAAGGGAAAAATTCTATTTCTGAAATGAAAATTTCAGGGAAGTGTATTTAAATAATCTTTATTGTTTTTAATATGACAAAATAATACACATTTGCTATAGGAAACAGAAAAAATGGAAAGAAGAGAAAATTCATCTGTAATATCAGCATTGTTAATGTGAAAGAAAACCTTAATTACTATGTTTATTTCCTTTTAGTCTTTTCTCTAAGCAGGGACATACAAATTTAAGCCACCCAGAGAGGACCTAGTTTAGCCAAAGAAGAAAAAAAGTTTTTTTTTAAAAAAAAAACAAAGTTGGAGGACTCACATTACCTGACTTTAAATCTTATTGCAAAGTTATGGTAACATAAACAGTGTGGTACTGGCTTAAGGATAGTAAAATAGATAAATAAAACAGAATCGACAGCACAGAAATAGGCCTTCACATATACAATCATTAGATTTGACACAGATCCCCAAGTAATCCAATGGGGAGGAAGCTATTTTAAACAAATAATACTGAACAAAAGTTATTAAGATGGATGATAGTTTTAAACAGAGACTAAATAAAACTATAAAGCTTATAAAATAAAATACAGAATATCTTGGAAAATGTTTCTTAGACAAGATCCAGAAAATTATAATCATAAAAGAAAAAAAAAATAAATGAAACTTCAATAAAATTAAAACTTTAGTTCATCAAAATACACTAAGAATATGCAAGCTGGATAGGGATAAAATATTCACAATCATACTGAAAAAGAACCAGTATGCAGGATATATAAAGATCACTTCCAACCTAACAATAAAATGAGAAATAGCCCATTTTTTTGGGCCGGCCCGGTGGCGCACTGGAGAGTGCACCGCTTGGGAGTGCGGCGGCGCTCCCGCCGAGGGTTCGGATCCCATGTGGAGACCGGTTCCCGCTCACTGGCTGAGCGCGGTGCGGGCGCGACACCGAGGGTTGCGATCCTGTTACCGGTCAGTAAAAAAAAAGACAAAAAGAAAAAAAAAAAAAGAAATAGCTCATTTTTTTTAAATGGGCAAAATATTTGCATGTACAAATAGCCCCCAAGTACATAAAAAAGCTCAACATAATTAGTCATCAGAGAAACGTAAACTAAAACTACAATATGATATCAACACATGCCTACCAAAACTCCAAAATTGGAGAGAATGTGGAACAAATGAAACTTTCATACCATATTGGTGTGGATTTAATTAACATGGTACATCCATTTTGTAAAAAGATCTAGTAGTTTTTACACAACTAACCATATGACTATCTTAATACCCAACAATTCTACTCTTAGTTATTTACCCAAGCAAAATGAAAGCACATATCTAAAAAAAAGCACTTGTAAAAAATGTTCTTAACAGCTTCACTCATAATAGCCAAAAACCTGACATAACCCAGGCATCAATGGTATATTCATAGAGGAAAATACTCAACAATTTCATAGAAAGAAGAGAACTACTTATAAACACAACAACATGGATGAATCTCAAAAACATTATGCTGAGTGAAAGAAGCCTTACAAAAAAAGTACATTTTGTATGATTTCATTTATGACGTTGTCTTGGATTGAGTGTTTGCCCAAAACTTTACCCCACCATGGGCCTTACAAAAAAAGTACATTTTGTATGATTTCATTTATGACGTTGTCTTGGATTGAGTGTTTGCCCAAAACTTTACCCCACCATGGCAGTGTTAAGAGGGTGGGAAATCCTATTATGGTCATTGAAAGGTGGAGCCTTGAAGAGGTGATTAGATTGTAGGACCATGACGTAGTGAAATGATTAATAATGGTGGTCAGGGGCATGATTCTGAGGGATTTAAAAGAAGAGCACATGAGAAGTTCACTATCTCTGCTCCACCATTTTCTGCCATGTATGACTCCTGGGTCACTGTAACCACCACCAGATGTGTGCCCTGGACTTTGGACTTCCCAACTTCTGAAACTGTAAGCAATAAATTTCATTTTCTTATAAATTACCCAGTTCCAGGTATTCTGCTATAAGCAACAGAAACAGACTAATACAGATGTGTTGTAGAACAGGCAGACAAATTTTTAAGGAAAAAATCATAACAGTATAGTTGCCACTGTGGATACTGAGATAGGGACTGACTAGAAATGGGCATAAGAAAAATTTCTGGGATGTTACCCTGATAGTGGTCAGGTTATACAGGTGTATGCATTTGTCAAAATCCAGCAAATGTACCCTTAAGATTTGTGCATCTAATTTAAAGTGAATTTAATATCAAAAGAAAAAAATAAACAGCTATGGAATTTTAGTCACGGTATGTATGCTGAAGTATTTAAGTAGAAGTGTATTGATGTTGCAATTTATTTCTAAATGCCTGAAAAAGAGACCAACGAATGGTGAGAGAGATGGATAGATGAATAGATGTTAAAAGCATGTAGAATAAAATGTTGACAGTAGAATATAAGTAACATGATACTTTAGAGTAGTCACTGTAAAGTTCTTTCTACCTTGCTGTATATTTGAAATTTTTAAAAATATGATGTTAGCAGGGAGATAAAATGTTAATTGCAGAATCTAGACAGTGGATATATGGCTGTTCGCTATATAATTCTTTTAATTTTTCTGTATGTTTGAAAATTTTCACAATAAAATGCTTATAAAAAGTATACTGAGAATCCTGAGAACTTCCATCGGGTTAGCAAAAATCTGAGTTTGTCAGCATACCCATTTAGCAAGGCTGTGGGGAAATGACACATTCACACATTGCTGGTGGTAATGTAAAATGGTGCAAATGGAGAGGACTCTCAAAATATCTAGAGACGCATTTACCCTTTAATTCAGAAAATCTATTTTCATTATTTTATTCTACTATTATACCTATACACATTTGAAATGATATGTATGAACAATTATTCACATTCGCATTATTTGTAGTAAGAAAAGATTGACAAAAATCTAACTAGCAGCTAGTGGAATAAACTATTTTACACCCATGTAATTCAATATCAGGCAGCTATTTTTTAAAAATCAAGATCTCTATGCACTGATATGAAGTGAACTCCAGGATATAAAGATAAGTGAAATAAGTGAAGTGCAAAAAAGTCAAACAGTAATACCCTGTCCTTTAAGAAATGGAGAAAATAGAAATACATATTTTTATTGGCTAGTATTTTTATAAGGAAATACTGGAAAGACAAATAAGAAAATAAAAAGTGGGTACATATGGGAATGGAGAGGAACAGAATAGATGAAGATGGGCTGGAAGACTTCTCAGTGTTACTTTTATACATATATGATTGTATTATCTATTCAATGAAATAAAACAAAAATAATCAATGGAGAATGGGAAAAAAAAGTGTAGCAGTTGACAGAGGAGCAGCATGAGCTTTCCAGTTAATTGGGCTTATCACCAATAAACTTCCATAATGGTTTCAATTTTTACAAAAGTTCAAAGCAAACTGAGAAGTAGCAACATCCTCCGTACCTTTTGGTCCAGGTAGCCCATCCAAGCCAGTGCGTCCTGGAGGACCTGGAGGTCCTGGGAAGCCACGATCACCTTTTGGGCCAAGTGCTCCTTTAAAACCCGGGAGTCCTGGTGGTCCAGGTGGCCCAGGTAACGCATATCCTGGTTCTCCCTTGAGCACAAACATGACAAAACACAAGAAAAACTTCCATGACTTTGCTGGTGCTTACTGTTTGCCATAGAGAATTTAAAGCAGAAAATACAAGGTAATATTTTTTTTTTCCTGTCGGGGTGAGAGGAGAGGATAATTAAATGAAAAATAATTGCTATGTTGGAGAGAACATCTGGAAGGATGGGAAACAGGGTTTCGTAAAACAAATTTAATGAGTTGAACTGGTTTAGGATAAAAATAAACTGAGAGAACATGAGATGAAAGAACAGTCTACCCAAGTGAGGAAATGTGATTATAAACTGAGTATTAGATAATACCAAATAATTATTTTAATTTGACTAATAGTGGCACTGTGGTTTTTGTATAAAATGTCCATTTACTTAGAGATGAATGCTGAAGCATTTATAGGTGGCATGACATGATTTTGAGAGTTGGGTTAACATCCTTAAGCAAAGAAAAAAGAAATAGATGAAGCAAATGTGATAAAATCTTAATTTTGAATCCTGGTGATGGATATATGGAAGGTCATTGTATTATTCTTTTTACTTTTGTGTTCATTTGAAATCATTCATAATAAAATAAAAACAATCAACCAATAGAGAAGTGGTTTTCTCATGAGAGCTGGTGTCCTGGACAACAATTTTTCCCATGGAAAACAACTAATAATGATGGAACACAGAAAGTTTATTTTTTTTTTACATTTTAAAATCATTTTCCTATTTTTTTATTTATATTTTTATATTTTATCATTACACAATGTAAACATTTTCTGTGATCCTTTACCAATTTTTCCCTAACCCTCTCTCCACCTCCCCCTTTTCTACCTCTTGTGGCTTCAGTCAAATACAGGAAGTTTAAATTCATTAAGCACACAGAAAATACAAGAACAGCCAAGATAATTACACACCACAGCAGTTTGCTAAAAGCTGACTGAGGAAAGTTTGAAATTAGATAAGACATAATAAAAGTAATGGAGAGTAACTCAAACACATTATTATTTATTATTATTATTAAGTCAAGAGTAGTGGTTTACATAATGTATCTGTGATGGAATTGGGGCAGAGGGCAACAGTACGGGAAGGTCTTGACATGACATTCAACAAAATTTCAACAAATCATCACACAGGCATGGACAGAGATGAAATGGGATGGTGATTCTATATAGAACAGGGGAGCTGATCATCGTATTTTCTCATCTAATCAAATAACTGGCCACTCTAAAATAGGTTCAGAAATTCTTTTCTTTCTCTCTCTCTCTCTCTCTTTTTTTTTTTTTTTTTTTTGCTCCAAATATGATCTCTTGGACTACAAGTATTAAAGATGGTTTGGGGTTAAATATTTTTAAATGAAAATATAATCAGTTAAGTTTTATCTATATAGTGAAGTCTCGGGATGATGTCTAAGTCAAAATAGAGAGCTAGGACTAAGGAAGGTAGAGGAGATAGGAAATGAGAAGAAATAAATTAAAATGTCCCAGACCTTCGATCCTGGAAAGCCTAGTGGACCAGGAGGGCCTTCAAGACCAATTCTTCCAGGTGTCCCCGGTGCTCCCGGAGGTCCTGGAATTCCAGGAAAACCTGTAAAATGATAAGTAATTTTTTAATCCCCAAAGAAAAGATGCTTTAAGAAAGATATCCAAATTCCCAAACCCACATTCTCATCCAATCATGCTTAAAGATTACAGTAAGATGTTAAAAGGACAGTGACATTCCATATGACTGCATAATATCAAGCCTTACAGACACCTGATATTCCCTCTCAATCACCTTATGACTCTATTGTTTTCACATAGAGCTAATGTGTGTGGAAGATATGCTCTTCTGAAGAAAAACAAGGGCTATTATAATAGACAGAACTAAACATAAGGAATGAATCACACACAAAAACACAGAACTTTTCTTCTGCTTACATCTAAATATAGTACAATAAAGAACCCACCACGTAATTCTGGAAATGAGCTAAAAACAATTGCAGATATTACACACGCATATACACATAAAACCAAATCTGACACTTTTGAAAGCATTTGGTATAAATGAGTAAGGACATGTTTAAGAACTGCCCTCAGACCAATGTGCACTCTGGCCATTCATGAGAATAAATTCCGTGAGGAATAAAGGAGAACTGAAGCAAAAGCCCTAAAAGTTTTCAATAAATCAAGAGAATATGATTTAGAATAAAATATTGCTTGGATACATGTGTACAGTAAGTCTGTTTTCTGTTTAAAACAAGCCATTAATTCAACAAATATCTATTGAGTGCTTACTATGTGCCAGGAACTGTTATAAGTCCTGAGAATACAATGGTAAACATAAAAGACAATAATTTCCATGAATTTTTTTTAGCTTGTATATCTTTTCTGCATATCTACGATTTAGATATTTTCTTATCTGGTCTATTTTAGATAAAGATAATTAACTTAAGAGTGCATACACACTGTGACTATTCATTTACATTCTTTATAGCACACAGAAAAAAGGTATAATTAATATATTTGATTTGTTGAGTGCATTATATCAAAAAATAACATCATACTAACCAGCTAATCTACCCTGCCCACTACTCAGTCCAAAATACCTTTGGGACCAGGTGGTCCAGGAAGCCCAATTCCAGGGATTCCTGGTTCTCCTTTACTACCAGGTATTCCTGGCAAGCCTGGTTGGCCTGGGAGTCCAGGGTCACCTATAAAAAACATAATTTTCTGAAAGAGAATTGTTCAAAGAAAGAAGCCAAGAAGTGTTGAAGATATTTTGAAATAATTAATCACATACCTGGAAGACCTACTTCACCATCTCTGCCTGGGTTACCAGGCAGGCCAGGCTTCCCTGGCTGTGTTATGGTCTGACCTGGATCACCTTTAGGACCTGAGAACAAGAGTAAGTTTGTGGTGAATGGGAAGTGTTTACTTGACCAAAGATCTCTTTTAATTAAAAACCAAAAATAACAATCAACAGATCTTTTGAAAACGCAACTAAGATCCTGAGGTCAAGAGATTAGCTTGACAGCACCTTCTCTCATCAGTGCTACATTCAGGCCACTATTCTTCCACCCTTGAGTCTTTCACCACTGATGGTTGCTTCAGTATCTGTATAAAAGACCCATCCAGGTGGAACGCGCTGGACCGGCCCAACTCTGCGAGCTCTGTGAGTCACCACCAGCCAAGCCCCACTTGCGGGGCGAAGCCCGACTGCTCCCCGCCCGCCTGGCTCCCGCCTACCACACCAGGCTAGGCGCCCACAACAGAGCTGCCTCCATTTTATCGGGTGGGGGCGGAGAAGGCCGGCTTAGTGCAGGCAGGCCAGCAATCTCTGCTTGGCGCGGCTCCGCACTGAGACGTGCCATTTGCTTACCTCGATGCGGGGCACNGTCATGGGTATTCCAGAAGGGGAAGAAAAAGGTGAATGTATTGAAAACATATTCAACAAAAGTGGCAGAAAACTTCCAAGACATAGGAAAATCCACAGATCTTCAGATCCAAGAAACTCAATGATCCCCAAACGTATTCAACCCAAAAAGGGATTCACAAAGACATATTATAGTCAAAATGGCAAAACTCAAGGACAAAGAGAGAATCTTGAAAGCTGCAAGGGAGAAGCGTCAAATCGCCTATAAGGGAGCTCCAATCAGGTTAACAACAGACTTCTCAACACAAACCCTAAAGGCTAGAAGGGAATGGGATG